GTAGGTAATACCAATGGTGAAACACACTGGTTTAGGTAACAGCACTGGTGAAACACACTGGTGTAGGTAATACCAATGGTGAAACACACTGGTGTAGGTAACACCACTGGTGAAAGACGCTGGTGTAGGTAACACCACTGGTGAAACACACTGGTGTAGGTAATACCAATGGTGAAACACACTGGTTTAGGTAACACCACTGGTGAAACACACTGGTGTAGGTAATACCAATGGTGAAACACACTGGTTTAGGTAATAGCACTGGTGAAACACACTGGTGTAGGTAATACCACTGGTGAAACACGCAGGTGTAGGTAACACCAATGGTGAAACACGCTGGTGTAGGCAACACCACTGGTGAAACACACTGGTGTAGGTAACACCACTGGTGAAACACACTGGTGTAGGTAACACCACTGGTGAAACACACTGGTGTAGATAACACCACTGGTGAAACACACTGGTGTAGGTAACACCACTTGTGAAACACACTGGTGTAGGTAACACCACTGGTGAAACACACTGGTGTAAGTAACATCATTGGTGAAGCACACTGGTGTAGGTAACACCACTGGTGAAACACACTGGTGTAGTTAATACCAATGGTGAAACACACTGGTGTAGGTAACACAATTGGTGAAACACGCTGGTGTAGGTAACACCACTGGTGAAACACACTGGTGTAGGTAACACCACTGGTGAAACACACTGGTGTAGGTAGACACCACTGGTGAAACACACTGGTGTAGGTAACACCACTGGTGAAACACACTGGTGTAGGTAACACCACTGGTGAAACACACTGGTGTAGGTAGCACCACTGGTGAAACACACTGGTGTAGGTAACACCACTGGTGAAACACACTGGTGTAGGTAACACCACTGGTGAAACACTCTGGTGTAGATAACACCACTGGTGAAACACGCTGGTGTAGTTAACACCATTGGTGAAACACACTGGTATAGGTAACACCACTGGTGAAGCACACTGGTGTAGGTAACACCACTGGTGAAACACACTGGTGTAGGTAACACCACTGGTGAAACACACTGGTATAGGTAACAACACTGGTGAAACACACTGGTGTAGGTAACACCACTGGTGAAACACACTGGTATAGGTAACACCACTGGTGAAACACACTGGTGTAGTTAACACCACTGGTGAAACACACTGGTATAGGTAACACCACTGGTGAAACACACTGGTGTAGGTAACACCACTGGTGAAACACACTGGTATAGGTAACAACACTGGTGAAACACACTGGTGTAGGTAACACCACTGGTGAAACACACTGGTATAGGTAACACCACTGGTGAAGCACACTGGTGTAGTTAACACCACTGGTGAAACACACTGGTGTAGGTAACACCACTGGTGAAACACACTGACGAAACACACTGGTGAAACACAAGCGTGGAGGAAGGAGAATGTAAGGTATTCGTAGCCTGGTTGATGGTTCTTCTTGTTAAATACTTTCAAGGAATCACCTTCTTAACTACCCTCTTCCCCTTTTCTTACTCCCCTCAGCTTTTATCCATTTCCCTGCTTCTTCCTTTCAGGTTTATTATCATGAACACTGAGCCAGTCTTTCTATGTATATATATATATATATATATATATATAT